AATTTCTAGCTGGCTATTTTTTCTACTATAGTAGCAGCCAGGTCGAAAAAAAGGCCATGAATAATGTATACACCTTGCTCCTTTGAAAGCGAAAAAAGAAAACATGGAACTGGTAATAGGTAAAATGGGTAAAGGCTTATCATTACTAGAAGCTATCGAGCAAGTTTTAGCAAATGCAAAGGAAAAACAACACGCCAGCCTTAGCAAAAATTTATATCATTTTATTAATAAAGAAAAGCATGAATTTATGGCAGAATATAATCCAGTTAGTTTTGATTATTCCTGCTTAGATGCGAAACAATATGCTTTCAAGGTATATATCCCATTAAACATTCGATAAAGCTTATTTCCGAGCATGAGATTAAGAACCTCATTAGTTTTTCCTGAATTAGTACGGCCTAAAATTAGAAGCGTGAAAGGCTATTGGGGAATAGAGGGATGGCCATTAAATTTTTTCGCATCTTTAATCTCATCAATATGGAGAACAAATCTCTCAACTGGCTCAAGCCTTTTTATTTTCATGTCTAATGATATACTAAAATAATTTTGCAAATTTCAGACAACCAAGAATCCTTTCTTGATTAGTGTATGCTTAATGTAAGGAAAAAGATCACATGTATAAGGCACTTCAATAAGACATATACCTTGATCCTTGCAGCTCAGTTCTCGGAAATGCATTCCATATTTTTTTCCTGACCACAAACCATATAATTGCAATCAGTAGCAAGGTAATTATAGAATATGTTATCATCGCTGACAAGGAGTGGTTATGAAGTGGCCAGCCCGCAATAATAGGAGCAGTCACTGGTAAAAGCATCGCTTCCACACCACCTTCTTTTGAATCCACCGATTGATCTTGATTGATACCAATAGTAACAGTTTAATTATCCTCATTGGCCAATACTTCATAGGGGTGGATTTGCTGATTTGACTTCTTTTGTTCATGACTTATCTCATCTGGGGGTAGTACCGGTTGCGCTAAAACATAATTGCTGGATGATGAGGCTAAATCCGTTTCTGCACTACCTATTACATTCGAATCATAAGATGGGTGGGATATTTGTTGTTCTAACTGGTCTTTCAAATCCTCTATTCTAGACCTGAGGCAACTAATTATCCCACGATTAAATAATGCGTTTCTTGCTACTTTCTCCAATTCCTCTATTCTAGCCCCAAGAGAGGTGATTTCAGAAGCCTTTCGCCCCACCTCAGCATCCAATTTATAATTTTTTGAACTTAAATCCCTCTTTGCTCGCTCCAATACAAGCCTAAGAGAATCTAATTCGCTTATTTTTTCCTTAAGAGAAGTAACATCCGAGTCATGAGATATACATTCTAGTTTCAGGCGCTCAACTTCAGCCTCTAATCCACCTACCTTAGCTTCGAGAGAAAGAATGTTAGCTTTGCTACCAGATGAAGCTTTCTGGGCCAAGGTCACTTCTCTCTTCAATAATTTTATTAAAGACTTGAGGGATTTTATTTCGGCAGAATATTTGGCTTCGATCTCAGTATGGGACGCCCGTTCAGAAGTAATTTGGGATATAAGCTTAGCATTTGCATCACATAGCTGGCTAGCCTTATCCTCAAAATCAGCATAGGTACAATCAAAACTCTTCTCTTTCTTTAAAAACTTAGCCACTAACCTTCCATTGAGATCCCTAAGTTCGGCCTTAGAGCTGAGAGCAGAGTATAATTTCTCTTCGAGTTCTTGCTCATATGCAGTACCAAGCCGACGCCCAGTCCCAGTGAGGGTATCTCTTTTATTGATATCTCTCAAGGTGTATACATTATTCATGGCCTTTTTTTCGACCTGGCTGCTACTATAGTAGAAAAAATAGCCAGCTAGAAATT